TGTCCCCCCACCCCCCCATACCAGTAGGGAAGAGTTAGCACATTAAAATCTGTGTTAATGTACTGAAATCAAAACTAAATAAAATGGCTTTTCCTTTTCTAATACTTAATCTATGTTATAATAAGGCAGGGAGAAGCTCTTCTAAGGGAAGTTGCTGTGCAGCTCGAGGCCTGTGGTCTGCTTCTAGAAAGGACCCTGAATCTGAAACCCTCAAATAAGAGTCCCCTGAATTTGGAACAGAAGTGTAAAATGCCCACAGCAAAAGCTGTCAGAAAAGTAGGATACTTTGCCATCTGACTACTCTTCTATAATGAGCAAACTCTTCTGTATAAAGTTTCACTGTATAAAAACCCATCTTGATTTCAGCTATGAAAGATTTATTGATCTGACAACTATCAATTCTGCTCTGTTTCTCCATAAGCCAGTACCCAACCAACCATCATAGTAAATTTACGTTAACTTTTAAAGGCCATTGGTATGAGTAAAAAATGTCATCTAATTAATATTTAGTTCCGTACCTTAAAAAGCCAACACACAGCAAGCACTCAGTAAATGCCTGATCAATTGAATTTTTAATCCTTTATCATATAGATATATATATATATATATATTTTTTTTTTTTTTTTTTGAAACAGAGTCTTAACTCTCTCACCCAGGCTAGAGTGCAGTGGCAAGACTTCAGCTCACTGCAATGCCCATCTTCCAGGGTCGAGCAATTCTCGTGCTTCATCCTCCTGAGCAGCTGGTGTTACAGGTGTGTGCCACCATGTTGGCCAGACTAGCCTTGAACTGCTGGCCTCAAGTAATTCACCTGCCTTGGCCTCCCAAAGTGCTGGGATTACAGGCATGAGCCACTGCGCCCAGCCTAGTCCTTTATCATATACTCTCAATTAATTATAATTGGCCACTTTTTAACTAAACCTTTCTTCCCAAAAAGGACTGCCTATTGCATTTATGAAGCTATGTAAGTGGCGTCTGTGGAACAAGCTACAATTGATTTTTTATTTCATAGAGGAAAGAATTCCATCCACTGACTGAATTATCTGTAGTACTTAAGATGCTATGTGCTTAACAATGTTTAGTGAGTGATTCTCTGTTCCTGGGTCCGATTATTTGGCCTTTTCTCTGTCTCCTGCTCAATTTTATAACCGTCTTCCAGGTGCACACCACTTAGACACTTTGTTTTCTCCATTCTGAAGGACAATTAGAGTATATTTTAAAATTGAAGAAAACTACATATTCTGGCTATGTTTTATTATCTCCATCTCTGTTTGTTAATTTGAAGAAATTGAAGGGAGATAACGATTCCAAAACCCCATTGTACAGAGATATTCTGCAAAAAGCAGTAGTATTTGAAGGACCATTTTTAAAAGTTTAGTATCAGTATGTTAAATGTAAGATAGAAATTTGTTCTACCTCATCAATTCAGACTTTAAAAGAATCCCTATAAATTATTAACCAAAAAAAGATGCCAAATTCACTCTGATGATAAACACTTAACAGTGGAGATTATTTTAATTCTAGGTACTTAAAATTATTTTCTATATGCTGAGAATACTTGTTCTGCATCAAAATTTTCTAATGCATTTCAATTTTTAGCATATCTTCTAAAACCTTTAGAGTGTCAGATGATACATCCTAGTGTTTCTGTTAGGATGGCATTATTGGTAAATTATAATCTTGCCAGATTCAACTGAAAATGAAAATATTGGGCCAGGTGTGGTGGCAGGCGCCTGTTAGCTACTCAGAAGCAGGAGGATCGCTTCAATCTAGGAGTTCCAGGCTGCGGTGCACCTTGATCACACTTAAGAATAGCCACTGCACTTCAGCCTGGGCAACACAGCAAGACCTTGTCTCTATTAAATAAAAATAAAAATGGAAATACCAGGTTTTTTAAATTTTTTGAGTAAGCAAGTGTTCTTTTATTTCTAAGATTTTGAAACATGATGCTTGCAAATCGTTTGCCTTCTACATGAAAATACTCTGTAGGCATTTCTGCTGCTTTTAAGAGGAATTTAAAATTCTTTATAAAAATCAATTAACTATGCTTACCACAATCTTGGTATTTTATTCTTAGTTTTGACTTAAATAATTTGTAATATATATTGACTCTTCAAAGAGATGGAGGTCTAGAGATGATAAACAAATTCTAGGTGAGTTCATTATTTAATTACCTGCAATAAATTAGCATTTTTATAGCTGGTTGGTCTTCAGCAACACATAAGTTATTTTAGCTTCCCAAAACCTTCATGATTTTTATTAGCTATGTTAATGTCCCTGATTTAATTTTGTCCTTTCAATTTGTGTAACTATTTCTCCCGATGTATATTATTGTCTTTTGTGTAATTAAAGGTAATATAGTTATCAGTTGCCAGCAATAACTGGTTAGGGCTAATCCCATGTTATTGGTAACTATTTGCATAAAACATTGCTCAGCATAGAGCTTGTACTTTAAATTGATTTCTAGGTTGTGTGTCCTTCTGTTATTAATCAGTATTACTGCATTTTATTAGAATAAAGAGTATCAAGGGAACTGATTCAATGCTATTTTTAGTCAATATTAATACATTTCATAATTGATATTGTAATATCCATGTTGAAGCCAAACAATGTAAAATTTATGGTTAACTATTTGCATTTTATACTGTAAGTTTTTCTCTTGCACACAGTCACATGCTTTCAACAGTTACGACTTAAAATATTCACACTTCTGTCTCTGAACAAAATGTATCTATGTAAGAATTACAACTGGCTGGGCACGGTGACTCATGCCTTTAATCCCAGCACTTTGGGAGGCCAAGGCAGGCCGATCACCTGAGGTTGGAAGTTCAAGACCAGCCTGTCCAACATGGTGAAACCCCATCTCTGCTAAAAACACAAAAAAAATTAACTGGGCATAGTGGTGGGTGCCTGTAATCCCAGCTACTCGGAAGGCTTAGGCAGGAGAATCACGTGAACCCAGGAGGCGAAGGGTTGCATTGAGCTAAGATCATGCTACTGCACTGCACACTCCAGCTTCGGTGGCAAAGTGAGACTCTGTCTCAAAAAAAAAAAAAAGTGGCTCACACCTGTAATCCCAACGCTTTGGGAGGCTAAGGTGGGTGGATCATGAAGTCAGGAGATCAAGACCATCCTGGCAACATGGTGGAACCTTACGCCCACTAAAGATACAAAAAATTAGCCAGGCGTGGTGATGCACACCTGTAATCCCAGCTACTCAGGAGGCTGAGGCAGGAGAATCGCTTGAACCCAGGAGGCAGAGGTTGTGTTGAGCTGAGATCACGCCATTGCACTCCAGCCTGGTGACAAAACAAGACTCCTCAAAAATAAGAAAAGAAAATTGTAAGGGTTGGGCACAATGGCTCACGCCTGTAGTCCCAGCACTTTGGGAGGCAGAGGTGGGCAGATCACTTAAGGTCAGGAGTTCAAGACCAGCCTGTCCAACATGGTGAAACCCCGTCTCTACTAAAAATACAAAAAAATTAGCCGGGGGTGGTGGCATGCGCCTGTGGTCCCAGCTACTCTGGAGGCCGAGGCAGAAGAATCGCTTGAACCCAGGAGGCGGAGCTTGCAGTGAGTCGAGATTGTGCCACTGCACTCCAGCCTGGTGACCGAACAAAACTCCGTCTCAAAAAAAAAAAAAAAAATTGTGAGGGAGAGAAGTATATTCATTAGGTGGAAGTAGATCATCATAAAGGTCTTCATTCTCATCATCTTCATGATCTTCATGTTGAGGAGGAAGGGGAGGGCTTGGTCTTGCTATCGCTGAGGTGGTGGAGGTAGAAGAAAATCTGTGTATAAGTGGATCACTGAAGTTCACACCCATGTTGTCAAGGGTCACCTGTAATGCCACAAGCTTGTATGTGCATCTGTAACCTGTTTTCACAAGGGACCAATCCCTGAGGATGCAGCTGCAGAAGGACTTGGCAAAGGAATGAAAGGGTTTCTGAAAATCCCTCCCAGAGTACCTGCAGTAACTACTCTGATCCATAATTTAACTCTCTTAAGACAGACATCTCTGATCTCTCTCAGCTTGTGGGTGGTACCATGGGAACTATCTTCATTTTCCAGTTATTACTTTATGTGTTTAATCTGCTGTTTTCTCATTTCTTTGCTCAGATAAGGTGATCTGGGTCTACAGTGGTCAAAAGTTAAGAATAATATTTCACTATATATTTGCAACTCATAAATTTTTCTCAGAATCATGTAACATATTTCTTTTATGTCATTACATATAATCCAAGAAGTAAACAAGCTACTTAATCATAGTTTTAAACTGTTCTTTTAAACCATACTGTGTTGCAAATGCTGAGAATTAAATAGGCTTTAATTTTTAATGGACTTTTAAAGTTGTAAATGGGTAGAGGTCAGGAGTTAGAAAATGGCTGTTTTTTATTTTATATTTTTTGAGACAGATTCTTGCTCTGTCGCCCAGTCTGGAGTACAGTGGCACAGTCTTGGCTCACTGCAGCCTCTGCCTCCCAGGTTCAAGAGATTCTTCTGCCTCAGCCTCCTGAGTAGCTGGGACTAGAGGTGTGCACCACTGTACCTGGCTAAATTTTTGTATTTTTAGTAGTGATGGGGTTTCACCATGTTGGCCAGGCTGGTCTCGAACTCCTGACCTCACGTAATCCACCCGCTTCAGCCTCCCAGAGTGCTGGGATTACAGGCATGAGCCACTGTGTCTGAACAGTTCTAATAAGCTAAACAATCTATGTGCAGTGGCATGCCCCAGGAGTTGAGGTCAGCCTGGGCAACACAATGAGACCCCGTCTCACTGTGTTTATATATTTACAAAAATAAATAAATACAAATTTTAAAATACAAAGCTAAACAAATCTGATTACATATAATACATTTGCCTCCTTTAAATTTTCTACTAAAGGCTATTCTAAGGATAGATTATCTTCAAATTATGTTGAAACTGAAAACCGAATTACATTTGTACTTTTCTCTGATGCACTTTTATGATTTTCTGTACCCCTTGGAACCTTTTTCAGTTTCATCAGGCTGGGGAGAAATGCCTAATGTTCACTCAAAGACTGAACACTCTTGGGGAGAACCATCCTCCCCTTCTACACTGGTGGACAATGGCACAGCAGCATGGGGGAAGCCACCCAGCAGTGGCAGTGGGTGGGGAGATCACCCTGCTGAGCCACCGATGGCATTTGGAAGAGCTGGCGCACCTGTTGCTGCCTCGGCCCTGTGCAAACCAGGTAAGCCTAGCATCTTGCTTGCCCTGATCTGGCAATTAGAAATGATTCTCAAAAGTGTTGAAGTTTAAAAATTAGAGTTTTAGGATACTTTACTCATAATGTTTATATTTTAAGATTAACCACAAACCAAGAATCTTGGCCAAACACAGTGCTTCACACCTGTGATCCCAGCACTTTGGGAGGCCAGGGCAGGAGGATCACTTGAGCCCAGGAGTTCAAGACCAACCTGGGCAGCATAGTAAGACCTTGTCACTACAAAAAAATTGAAAAATTAGCAGGGCATGGTGGCACGTGCCTGGAATCCCAGCTGCTTGGGAGGCTGTGGTAGGAGGATAGCTTGAGCCCAGGAGGTTAAGCCATGACTGTCCCATTGCATCCAGCCTGGGCAATAAAGCAAGACCCCATCACTTGAACAAAAGGCCAAGATTATAAAATATTTCCCATGTCTGATATGTGAACACAAAGACGCTTTTAAGAGATGTCCATGCCCTCCTTTTTTAATAATGCAAATAAATGAAAGAATCAAAGCAACCCAGCAGTATGTTTGATTCTCCTAATAATGCCCACACTACTTCAGCAGCAGTCTTAATGCCTGCCACATTGAGTAATTTAAACCTGCTTCACTGAGCAAGATGGATAAAGCATATCATCTTTTCTTCTTGAGATTAGTTTTGAAAATATGTATTACGTCACGGCAATCTAACATCTTGCCATCTTGCCCTTCTTTTATCTTGCCAACAGAATTCCACTTTGGGTGGAAGTTACCATGTTTATTTTCATGTTATTGTGCTTAAACATAAACAACTTGAAAAAAGGAAAAAACTACATTTTCCTCCCATTTAATTCTGGCTGGGCACCGTGGCTCATGCCTGTAATCTCAGCACTTTGGGAGGCCAGAGCGGGTGGATCACCTGACACCAGCCTGGCCAACGTGGTGAAACCCCGTCTCTACTAAAAATACAAAAATTAGCCGGTAGTGGCGACAGGTGCCTGTAATCCCAGCTACTGAGGAGGCTGGGGCAGGAGAATTGCTTGAACCCGGGAGGCAGAGGTTGCAGTGAGCCAAGTTTGTGCCACTGCACTTCAGCCTGGGCGACAGAGAGACTCCATCTAAAAAAAAATGTTCACATAACTGCAGAAGCTTCACCTTTTCTTTGAACATCTTAAAATGAAATTTTATCGGTTCCATACAGCCACCACTATGCTCAAGGTATTTATTCCATTTATATTACTTTTTGTTACAAACCTAAAAGATAAGGCAATTTCTGAGTATTTAGATTAATTGTGCTGTTTTGAGGCAGTGTATTCTATTTTCATAATTTTTCCTGGGAGGCACAGTTAGGTGCCTATTTTGTGTGTTTATCAGCCTTGTATCTTCATTAAAGACCCAGCTAACTGCGCTGTTACCTAGTGTTTCCCCTTCTTCATATTCTTCAAATAAGTGAAAATTTGGGGTAATTTTGATATCGCAAATCACTTTGTGTTTTAAGAAAGGAGGAAAAAACATCTGCAGTCGAAGTTCAGTGGTAAATTTGTAGCTCCATCTGCCGAAGGCCTCCATCCTGCTAGTTTGTCCGTATCTCCTGCGAGCTTGGGAGAAGTGCAGCCTACCAGGCCTGACCTCAGGCTTGCTCCATTTCACATGTTCCAGCTGACTATCACAAGTGGGCAAGTTTGAGAAGCACTGGTCTGTGTGACATAATGCTCACAGGTTTGGATCAAGCAGTGATTAAGAATCAGACAAGGGTACTAAAATTGGAACAATACAGAGAAGATTAGCGTGGCTCCTATGCAAGGATAAGGTGCAGATTCGTGAAGCATCCCATATACAAATTTTCCTGCCACTTGTGATGGCTCATGCCTGTAATCCCAACACTTTGGGCTGCCAAGGCAGGAGGACCACTTGAGCCCAGGAGTTTGAGACCAGCCTGGGCAACATAGTGAGTCACCGTCTCTATTAAAAAGAAATGAAATTAGCTAGATGTGGTGACACATGCCTATGGTTCTAGCTACTTGAGAGGCTGAGGCAGGAGGATCATTGATCAAGAGTTTAAGGTTGCAGGATGCTATGATTGCATTACTGTACTCTAGTCAAGAGAGCAAGACTGTGTTTCAAAAAAGTAGAAAAAAGTACAAATTTTTAAAACCACACAGGACAATGAAATTTTTTAGGAATCTACGTTTCTGTAGCCTTTTCATACCATATAGAGATTGCCACCTTCCCTACCAGCCCCAGGATTTGCTTTTAGCATGTTTATGTTTTAGAATGATCTGTAGTTGGTCAAGGAAGTTTAGAACAGCACAGAGTACAAATAGCCGGTGTTTGAAGGGAAAATTACATACATATACATGTTTATTTACATATCTAGCAGGAGAAATTCATTTCTTAGATCTGGGAGAAATGAAGGCGTAAAAAGGTAGATTACATCTCATTTGTCCCACTTCCCCTAAATTATATGTTATAGTGGAAGCATTGTCCGTGTTAGGGGCATGAAATTGGTAAGTTCATGTTTGCTCTCTTTCTAGCTTCAAAATCTATGCAAGAAGGCTGGGGCAGTGGTGGGGATGAAATGAACCTCAGTACCAGCCAGTGGGAGGATGAAGAAGGAGACGTGTGGAATAATGCTGCTTCCCAAGAAAGCACCTCCTCCTGCAGCTCCTGGGGGAATGCCCCCAAAAAAGGACTTCAAAAGGTAAATACAACACTCTTAAAGATGATATGCCCTGAAAGCCAAAGGTACTTCAGACACATTCAGTATCCAGTGAATCAGATGAAAAGGTAGACCTGAGTTTCTTAGAGTAGTCTCAGGGCCCAGCAACCCTTTCAAGGGATTAAGCAAGGTCACAACTATTTTCATGCCAGTACTAAGACTGTCTTTTTCATTTGAGATCTGTCTCCAGTATAGCGTGTAGGTGTACAGAGATCTTTATTATAGCAGAGAATCTGCAGAAACAGATAAGAAAATCCAGCCATTTTCTTTTAAGCCAGACATGAGATTTGCCAGAAGGCCGAACAGTACCACTCTTTTCATGAAAACTTAATTACTGTTTATTTTTAAGTGTTATGTTAATGTGCAATGGCTTTATTTTTAAACAAAATTAATATTTCTAAATTTTCTCAGTTTTAATTTCTAATACAGTAAATAGCAGTAGATACAACTCATATAAACAAAAGTTCTTTGGGAGAGAGTATTGTAGGGTCCTGAGACCAAAGTGTTTGAGAGATGGTTAAGAAGTCTTAAAGCAAATGGGCAGGCCAGGTGCAGTGGCTCATGCCTGTAATCCCAGCACTGTGGGAGGCCAAGGTGGGTACATCACTTGAGGTCAGGAGTTCAGTCCGGCCTGGCCAACGTGGTGAAACCCCATCTCTACTAAAAATACAGAAATTAGCCAGATGTGGTGACGGGTGCCTGTAATCTCAGCTACTGGGGAGGCTGAGGCAAGAGAATCACTTAAACCTGGGAGGCAGAGGTTACGGTTGCAGTGAGCCAAGATCGCCTCACTGCACTCCAGCTTGGGCAACGGAGCGAGACTCTGTCTCAAAAAAAAAAAGGACACAAATGGGCAATCATCTAGAAAAAAACTCAGATACATATCTCATATACATGAGATACAGGAGGTGTGTATCTTTTTTCTAGATGACTGCCCATTTCAGTCACACATTCAACGTGACTGAATTTCAAGTAGATCATAGATTTAAATATTAAAAATATTAAAATGTGAAAGACATTAAAAGCAATTTTGGAGTCAGAGAGGCCTATGAATGACCAAAATCTAAAAGCCATAAAATAAAATTTTTTGTCAATAGACACAAATACAAAAATATAAAAACTGTACATGATAGAAAATACTATAATCAAAGTCAAAAGAAAAACTGCAAAGTGGAAAAACGTTTATAACTCATATCATGGAGAGGGCCAATCTCCCTGATACGTAAAGTCCTAGAAACTGATTTAAAAAAAAAAAAAAAGCCGGAAACCCAATAGAAAAAGGAGCACAGAATGTGAACAGTAGATAGTTCACAGAGAAGGAGCACTGATGGCTGCTAGACACAGGGACTCACAGGAAGGCAGTTCAGTTTCAAACAGCACTCAGAGATGCCTGCCATTTTTCATCTCTCAGACCCGCCGAAAGCCAACATTTTTATTTTTGTATTTAAAAAAAGTTGTTTAGAGACAGTCTTGCTGTGTCACCCAGGCTGGAGTACAACGTTGAACTCCTGGGCTCGAAATGTCTTCCTGTCTTAGCCGCCCGAGTAGCTGGGACTACAGTTACATGCCACTGTGCCCAACTAATTTTTTTTTTTTATTTTTTCTGTAGAGACAGTGTCTCACTTTGTGGCATTTATACAGTTTTGTATTGCAGCATTTTTGTACTAAAAAGATAAAAATAGTTTAAACATACATTGATGGAATAACCAGTTAATTACACTACTTCTGCATTCTGGAAAACTATTTAAAAGGAAATTCTGTATATGTATTGATATGGAAAGATCACTAAAGTACATTGTGAAAAGATGCAGAAAAACATAACACACACCCAATTTTGTGGGGTAAGAGGAAGAAAACAAGTTTGTGTGTGTGTGTGCATGCATGCACACGTAGTGTATCAGCCTCTCTAGAATGTTCTAAATTCTCTGGAAGGGCAAATAAGAAACTGCTATGAGTAGTTTCCTCTTAGAGAGAACAGGAACTAAGCAGTTTGGGTGGCATGAGATGAAAACTTTCTTTATACCTTGTTTATACTTTTGAATGATGTGAATGTATTCATGGTCAAAAAAACTTAGTTTAAAAAGCGTTCAGTTAACCATCAGCAGAACCCAGAAACTAAAATCAGGACTCTCTGCTCATGAGGAGTAGAAGTGATCACGGACATTCTAAAGAATCCTTTTGGCAGTTGGGCTGGCAGATAATCCAGTTAATGATGGGACCAGAAATACCAAATTGGTAAATTAAAATCTTGGCTGATCCGGCTCTGGCAGTGTAGTAATGATTAAAATACCCCAAATAAGCTAGTTCCTTGAGGAAAGAAAGCATGTTTGTTTATAGAGCTTCATGTGCTCCATTATATAGCTATGGCAGGCTCAATTTTGGAAAGTACTATGAAGAATATTTTTAGAAGGAGATTTTTTTTTTATATTGGAATAATGCTTCATTAGAACCTTTGCATTTATAGGCTCAGAGGGAAGTTATTGAGAAGCCTTCTGGCTTCTCTGTGGTGCCAGGCCCTCCCCACCCACTGCTCATTCTGTAGCTGACCTTTTCCTCATCGTCTCCTTCACTGACATTTTCGTACTTACTCCTTTTCTCTACCCTATGAGCTACAAGAAACAAATAGTTAATAAAATTAACAGGTTTTTTTCTTCCTCTCTCCTTGTTGCCTCCTTATTCTTTGGAATAAACCCCCTCATTTTATCATTTTTCAGAATAAAGCTTATAAAAGGACAAAAACTGTAATTTTTAATAAACACATAGGGCTGTGTTCAAGGGAGCACTTAGGATTTTTGGACGATAAAAGTAATGTGTATTTGTGATGAACTAAATTACCTGGGAAAGAGAAATATCCTGCTTTTTTTTAAGTTCATAAACTGCACATATATACCAACCTGCAAATGTACCTTGATGCTTTCCACAGTAGAAGCCATGAAATACTGTTAGGGAGTTCCTGGAATACAGCATTATTCAACGTTAATACAAAAAGATTCAGTGACTTTTAAATGACCTTGTCTCCTGTTTCTGGAAGAAATGCATTAAAATGTAGTTCATGGACTTTCCCCTTTCCCACACTTTGTTACAGGGCATGAAGACGTCTGGCAAGCAGGATGAGGCCTGGATCATGAGCCGGCTGATCAAGCAACTCACAGACATGGGCTTCCCGGTAACTGGCATCTTGGTTTACTCCTACCTACCATGCTTCCCAAAATGAAATGCCCTGATAGTTTCCTTTCCATGTTTATTATATGTGATAAAAGACACCAAGAGCATTTGAGGAATGAGATATTGACATTGTCTAACTTTTTTGTTTTTTTGTTTGTTTTTTTGTTTTTTGACATCATCTAACTCTTAAATCTCCCTTTTACCTGGGTAGTTTGCGTTAGGGATCATTGCTTTGTACCACAGCAAAGACCCACATAACTTCTATCAAGAAAAGTGTAAGAGCCTTTTCCTAAAACAGAAAATGCTATTTGTGGTTTTTTGGTTTTGAGATAGGGTCTTGCTCTGGCACCTAGGCTGGCGTACAGTGGCATGACTGGGCTCAAGCAGTCCTCCTGTCTCAGCCACCTAAGTAGCTAGCGCACAGTCATGCACCACCATGCTCGGCCAATTTTTGTATTTTTGGTAGAAACGAGGTTTCACCATGTTGGCCAGGCTGGTCTTGAACTCCTGGGCTCAAGCAATGTGTCCATCTTGGCCTCCCAAAGTGCTGGGATTACAGGCATGAGTCACTATGCCTGTAATCCATAAAATGCTGTGTGATCTTTAATTTTCATTGGTTTATACAGTTTTATATTTTCTTTTAATTTATAATTAAAAGTGAATTTCATTAGTGTATACAGTATATTGATAAAGATGACAAGAGAAAACTTGATATAAAGTACTAAGGTTTTGTATCCAAGAAAAGTATCCTAACCAGACCTACTTAGTTCCCAAGATTCCAATCATGTGTAGGGATAATTCATATTGCAGGGCATTCTCCTGAAAATATCATAGTCTGTTCAGTTCCTGAGACTGGGTAGCAGTTAAGATGGCAAGGGATGTTGCCCATTTTCACCATATATTCCCTTCATGTGCCTTCTTTCAAAATCCTTATTCAAATGAGTGTTTGTCTTTCAATTACTGTGGATGTCCCTTAAAGAATGAGTCCAGAATGGCCTCCATGTAGAGGAGGAACCCCATCCTTCACACTGGGCACAGGCCCTCTGCATTGGGCAGGGCATTGTGTTAGTGGGCCAGGCTCTGCCTGTGTGAGAGGGCAAGAGGTTGACCGTGGCCTCAGGGTGTCTTGATGTATACTGTCTGAGTTACCATGGAACCCTGGTGTCTTCGATCATCCACTGAGATTACTGTGTTCTGATCGTAAATTATCAAAATGAATCTACTTGTTTTGTTTTTCTGTTTCTTAGAAAAAGGTTGATGATGATAGAGTTGATGAAGTACAAAATGAAGCTCTGCACCCTGACAGTGACTGTCACAGTTGCTGGCACTAGAAAGAGGCATGGAGATGGAGCCGATCTCTACAAAAATAATACTGATAGTTAACATTTTTTAAAAAAACAAAAAAGACTTCAGGAGTACTTACAAGGTTTACTGTCACTCCGCGTTTTGTTTCCAAGGTGTTAAATACAAGTTCTTTACTCTGAAAATCAAGTCAGTACATTTTATTGTTAGAAGTATTTTTTAATTTAAAAGACATTGTCTGTAACCTCAACAGTGAAGAAATATATTTCCAGTTCCAAACCTAATAACTGTGTCTTTAAGTAGATAGTGATTAAACTATTTATAAACTTTCCTTTTGTTAATTAATGTGCCCTAAAGAATACTCTGTTTTCCTACACAGAGAGAACCAGCTGAGGAGGCCTTGAAGAGTAACAATATGAATCTTGATCAGGCCATGAGTAAGTTATACAACATACCTTCTAAAAAGGTACCCAGATGTGAAGTTTTACTTTCCAGAAGCATTTTATTGTAGTCATGGTTTAATGGTTGAAGATGTCCTGGTAGACAGGACCAGGCCATGGTGAAGGAGCAGCCACACAACAAGCTGGAGCCACAGAGTGAGTCTCTTGGGACTAATGGACTTTGGAGATAAATGGCCAATGCCATATTTGAAGCTTGGTGGCTTTTTTTTTCATATTTTCCAGTCTGTTTTGAGGGGAAGTAATAGTGACACTCTGAGAGACACTTGCACCACAAACCAAACTTCAGTGGACAGTGAGTAAGTTCCTCGTGCCTTGCCCCAGAGTGGGCTTGCCTAGGGGCCAGCAGAAGCATCGCCTTGCTGGCTGAGCACTGACTCTTATTGAGAGATGAGATTTTCTGTCAAGGAACAAGCAACCCTAGTTCTGGAGCTGTTTTAAAAGTAATAATAATGTTAAATATTTATATTTAAATATAGCTGATTCTTATTTTCTTGGTTAGTTATATTCTGTAAAGTCACCACAAACGCCAAATTGACAAATACTGAACCAGTGCTCCTAGGAGACATGTAGGGTCGGCTTCCTATGAGCCCCTGCTCATGTCATTTTTGTCAACCAATCAATATATAACCTTGTTTTATGTGTTTTTTATTTCAAAACACCTTATTTAACATTAATATATATTTCTCGGCTGAGCGCGGTGGCTCACGCCTGTAATCCCAGAACTTTGGGAGACCAAGGTGGGCAAATCACCAGACGTCAGGAGTTTGAGACCAGCCTGGACAACATGGTGAAATTCTGTCTCTACTAAAAATACAAAAGAAATCAGTCAGACATGGTGGTGGGCACCTGTAAACCCAGCTACTCCAGAGGGTGAGGCAGGAGAATCACTTGAACTTGGGTGGTGGAGGTTGTGATGAGCCAAGATCACACCACTGCACTCCAGCCTGGGTGACAGAGTGAGACTCTGAGAGAAAAAAATATATATATACACACACACACATATAATATATATTTTTTTCTCTCACAAATAATTATGTGCCATATTTGTTAATAATAAAACATTAGCCAAGAAGAGTGTAACATTTTTGTGACCCTGGATAATGTGACCATAAATTTATTTGGCTTTCAGACTCATAACAATGACATCCACTACACTTATCAGTCATAATCTCATGAATCCACAAATATAGCCTCTTTTTCATAGCTCTATTACATGCCCAGCTGTTACTTGAGTACTTTCTGAGCAGCCTCACATACAGGTCAGTGAATTTCTCTTCCTTTTTCAGGATGTACTTTATCAATGATTCATGATCATTGAACTCAGAGCCAACAGTGCTTTTTAACTCAAATTAAACTTGCCCGACACACATATCTTCTCCATAAGGCACATTACTGCCTTTTTGAACCTAGAAACATGAGATAGCACCTCCGCACCACAATGGGGGACCGTTTTAAACACTAGAATCACTACAGAAAGCACAATATGAAAAGAATGACAGTCGATGGACCACAAAACGGACACGTCTTTACAATGTGAGATCTGAAGCTAGACCTGAGCTGGGAACACAAATGTTGGGTAACTCAAATTTTTGCCAGTCTGTCCACAAATAGCCACAAAAGTGCCACAGATATTGATTTGGGGGTTACAAATTTTAGCAAGCAGGCCAGTTTTACAAGTACAGAATTCATGAGTGATGAGAGTAGATTGCACACTGTCTAATAATTCACGTGTGATGACATGTGGTGTAAACTGCCAGGCGAGACAGAGCAGCGTGTGCTGCAGGCAGCGAAGTCTCACTCCCTCGAACTGAAGTAGGAAAGTTACTATGGGCTAAACAAAAAAGAGCCATGAGAACAGCAACAATGTCTGTTTTGCACAGTATTATATCCCGAACATCTGGAGGAGTCCTTGCAGATATCAGGACTCAGTGAAGGGAAAGGCCTGGCCATGCAGTAGGAGAGAAGCTGGTGCAGACAGAATCATCAGGAGGCCCCTGCAAGAAAGCCACCATGAAGCCCTCGTAAAATGAGGAAGCAAGCCATGTAGAAAACTTGGGGAGGGGTACATCCCGGGGAGAGGACAAGCTGAGCCCCTGAGGGCCAGCGGTGGCTGGTGTGGCTGCTGTGGAGAGGTCCGAGGACAGCAGGGCCAGATCACAGACTGCAGGAGCCATGGAAGGATGTAGGGGGTCAGCCTCCATCCCCTCCCTGTGAATCCTTGTCAGCCCCTTGTTGGGCTCCGCCCTAACAAAGCTAAGGGCTCTCTCTGCCCCTGGCTTCACTATATTTGAAGGGGTGGAGGGTCTTCATCCCTCCTTGAGGCCTTAGCTGGTACCTGTCTTGTGCTCAGCACTCATTTGTTTTGTTTTCAGCGTTGCTTCTGTTTGTTGTGCTCCAGGCGCTCTGCTGGAAAAGAAGGTGGACGTGGACAAGCGTGGGCTGGGAGTGACCGACCATAATGGAATGGCCACCAAGCCCCTCGGCTGCCGCCCGCCAATCTCCAAAGAGTCTTCCGTGGACCGCCCCACCTTTCTTGACAAGGTATGAATTTAGGTGGTTTTTTGTTTATTTTTTTACAAGAGGAGTTTTTCATTTCAACTGTGTCCTTAATGCAAGCCAGATTAAAAACTTGCTGGACTGTAATACTTAAGTGACTTCTTTCCATTTTTTTCTAACATTATGAATGTTTAACCCAAAGAAGGAAATGTTGTATTTCATATGATGTTACTGAGAATGGAAAAGATGGATTGAAAACTGATTTTCATTTTTATTGTGTGAACTTGGCTGGTTATCTGCTTCAGTTTGTCCAGTGGGCAGGGGTCATCAAATTTCTATTTTGCTATCTCATTTTAAAAACAGATCTTCTGTTTGGAAATGATGTGTTACCTGTTTATCCTCAGGAAAAGGGACTGGAAGTGGTGAGGCTTAAGCACCCATCTCTGGCTGTCCCTTGTCAGTTGGCCACATGGGTGACCACAGCAGTCATCTGTGGAAAACTCCCTGGATCTTTAACAAGTCCAGGCACAGCTCAGTCCCCAGTGTTGTCATGTAATGATGTCCCCACTCCAGATTAGTGTGACTACAAAGCGAGGAAAGGCATTGCACTAAATTCACTGCAAATGTTGATCCTTGAAAATAAAATTGAAGCAAGGAAAAACACATTTTAAAAAATACAAAGCAGTGAAAGGAGGCCGGGCGCGGTGGCTCATGCCTGTCATCCCAACACTTTGGGAGGCCAAGGCGGGTGGCTTATACTAAAAAATGACTTGCTCATCTGAAATTCCAGTGTAACTCAGCATCATATATTTTTATTTGCTAAATCTGGCAACCCTAAATTGGGACCCTGACATTTAAAATACGGAATAATGCATAGGCTGGTTGTGTTGTTAGATGAGATAAATTTGCAAAAGACCTGGCACATAACATGACCTCAATAGATGTTAAAAAAAAAAAAAAAATTAGTAAGGTTCTGTTGTATAACTTACTTTTTTTATAAGTCACCCTCTTCTTAGATTACACCCTATGAAACCGCTGTGTTTGTAGGTAAACAAAAAAATGTCCTAGAATTCAACCTAATGTATTCCTATAGCTTTGGTAATAACTTCTCAAAAAGAATATTTGAAAATTGTTGTAAAGTGCTTGCCATATGAGACTTGCCAGTGCCTCCATCCTTCCTCCTTACTCCCACCCCTGGCAGGGCCAATAGTTAGAATAGTAGCAGCTAATATATGTGTTTGTAAAATACTTTTAAACTGAAAACAGCATCTTAATCCTATTTCTCTTTTTCTTTTTCCCCTCTTCCTTTTGCCCATGTTCTCCATTCCCTTATCCATACTTTTTTGATCCATTAATTATTTCTCCATCCATGCCTCCTCTATTTCCTTGGGAAACTGTTTGGTGCTTTGTCTGCTGATGGACACTGCACACAGCTCACCATTTCTTTCTCCAATCAGGATGGCGGTCTCGTGGAAGAGCCCACGCCTTCACCGTTCTTGCCTTCCCCAAGCCTGAAGCTCCCCCTTTCACACAGTGCACTCCCCAGTCAGGCCCTGGGTGGGATTGCCTCCGGGCTGGGCATGCAAAACTTGAATTCTTCTAGACAGGTAAGGCTGTTGGGAGAGAGCAAAACGTTGCCTTTGTTTTACCTGCCTTTTAAAACAATGTGTTTGAGACATAAACTTTCTTATTTGTAGTTAATACCTCTATTTTAAAATATAACTGAAAATGTACAGGTAGTTGAAATACTACCAGGATTTCCCTTCAGGTGACTGGAGTTAAGAGTTGAAGTAGGAAATGCTTTAGTTGTATTTATTCTTACACTTAACCATGTTTGACTCTCAGCACCCTTGGTGCTAACTTGGCCCTGGTTGAAGTGATGATGTGTTACACAGTGGTCTTTGGCTGCCAGATCCATCCAGGGGTCCAGGTAGTGCCCAGCCTCTTCCCTCCTGGCAGCCAAAACATTATATCTGTTGATCTGCAAGAAAGCACCACATTCTCCTTTTTCCCAGAAATAAAGATGACATCTCTTACAAAGTGGTTTTCAGGAATCACACTGGCATCAGGTTGACACACCCACCTTGGAGACATGTCTCTAAGTAGACATTGTGAGATGTGGGCAGCCAAACAGCCTCTGTGTGCCCATTGTCCTGGTGTTGTTACCAGCAGTGCCCCTTCCACTCACCAGTGCCCAGCTGGCGTGATCCTGGTGATCTGACATTGCCCGCCTCCCCTGTGCTGGTGCAGTGAAACGCCAGCTTGAAGTCAGCAACCCAGCTAGGGTGTGCGCTGGAGTTAGGTTCGCAGCAGGGGGTCTCGCCCAGTGCCTTTCAGGTGGCTCTTGCCAAGTGAAGCTATAGAATACCTTCCCTCACCTGTTTGTTAGGTAACTCATTACACAGGAGTAAAAACTACAGCTACCATATATTTATCATAGTTAACACAAAATTAACTGCCTGAATTTGTCAGTTTATTCCATTTCAAGGCTTGTTGAAATAATAACTATATTTCCTGTCAGAAATGTTGCTATCCTCTGAGATTAGTGATCCCCATACATTATTACTCTCTAATTCTTATCACATCCTTTTGGAAGTGTATATTATTCAAATAGTCATACTCATATTGCTATTGTGTGTGAAACATTGTATGTTGGTAGTTTCCTGGAATGGTGTAGCCTTCTTGTTGTATAAATAATGCTCATTAAAAATTCGTTTGGCACCTGGCAAGGTGGCACACGCCTATAATCCTAGCACTTTGGGAAGCTGAGGTGGGTAGATCACCTAAGGTTAAGAGTTCGAGAGCAGCCTGGCCAACATGACAAAACCCCATCTCTACTAAAAATACCAGAATTAGCCTGGCATAGCAGCAGGCACCTGTAGTCCCAGCTACTCAGGAGGCTGAGGCAGGAGAATCACTTGAACCTGGAAGGTGGAGGCTATAGTGAGCCAAGATGGCTCTACCACACTCCAGTCTGGGTGACAGAGCAAGAATCTGTCTCAAAAAAAAAAAATCTCTTGGAAATTAATCGGGCATGGTGACACACACCTGTAATCACAGCTACTTGGGAGGCTAAGACAGGAGAATCGCTTGAACCGGGTAGGCAGAGGTTGCAGTGAGCCAAGATCATGCCACTGCACTCCAGCCTGGGCGACAGAGCATGACTCCATCTCAAAAAAAAAAAAAGAAAAGAAAAAGAAAACAACTTTGGTCGGGCATGGTGGCTCATGCCTGTAATCTCAGCACTTTGGGAGGCTGAGGTGAGCAGATCACTTGAGGTCAGGAGTTCGAGACCAGCCTGACCAACATGGAGAAACCTCGTCTCTACTGATAACAGAAAAATTAGCCAGGCATGTTGGTGCATGCCTGTAATCCCAGCTACTCAGGAGGCTAAGGCACAAGAATCACTCGAACCCCGGAGGCGGAGGTTGCAGTGAGCCAAATTGCACCATTGCACGCCAGCCTGGGCAACAGGAACAAAACTGTGTCTCAAAAAAATAATAATAAAATTCTCTTGGGTATAAGTTGACAGTAATAGGAAGTAGAAATAATTTTGCATTCACTTTAGAACAGATCACTTCACCCTACCTGCAAACAGTGTTACTCTAAATGCCTGCCTTGAATGTGTCTGATTCTGTCTCTGTACAGATACCGAGTGGCAATCTGGGTATGTTTGGCAATAGTGGAGCAGCACAAGCCAGGACCATGCAGCAGCCGCCACAGCCACCAGTGCAGCCTCTTAACTCTTCCCAGCCCAGTCTCCGTGCTCAAGTGCCTCAGTTTCTATCCCCTCAGGTCAGACGCACATCCAAGCAGTACTGCGCAACAGGATGTAGATGCCGGCGTTTTGTGGGGTCCTGTGTTACCTAGAAGTCACTATTTTAAAGTGAGAGCCGACTTAATCCATGTTTAAGAGAAGGCCTTCTGGTTTTGAACCTATAAATTACTTTCAGACTATAAAGTAGTAAACTGATTCTCCTGACCCAGGAGACATTTTCAGAGCTTTCTCCTTGGAATGCCTCAGCCACCCAAACCAGCATTTGGCGTCTTCCTGGTCAGAAGCAATATTGAGGGGGAGGGACCTGCACAGCACACTCCCATTGATGTGTTTTTGTCCCAGCCTTTCTCGAAAATTATTTAGATGAACCCAGTGAACTGCCCTAGATTGGTGGGAGAGGAAAGTGACACGCCTGTAGTAGTGCTGAGGATGTTCCCTTAGAGGCAGCCAAGGACTGAACCATGCTTTAATGAGGAACTAAATGTCGTCTTACATAATATTATATATGTTATAGATTTTTAGTTATGTTTAATATTCAGTATTAGATCATTTTTGCCCATAGAGTTTTTTTTTTTTTTTTTTTTT